CTCGGACCACTCGCCCGACGGCAGCCCGGCGCCCGAAAAGACGATCGACGACATCCGCGGGACGCGCTGCTTCAACCGTTGGCCCTACCGCTACTTTGGCCAGCACACGCACGCGCTTGACGTGCTCGACCCGCACGACTCGGTCTACCCGATCGCCGCCACGCGGCTCGGCGTCAAGTACCAGGCGGTGCTTCCCAGCTGGCAGGAGCAGCAGGCCGCCGGGCTCGGCGTCCACTTCCGCGTCAAGGGCTCGGGCAAGGACGAGGACGGCGGCGCCGTCGCCGACGAGAGCGCCGAGGCGCGCGCCGCCACGGCCATCAAGAGAAAGGGCGGCCGTCCGGCAAAGCGCAAGCGCGGCGGAGGCGTAGCCGACGGGCCCGACCGCTCCGACTCGCCCATGACGACTGTCAACACGCCGACCATGCTGCCGGCGCCGTTGCCCTCGGAGCCGCCCGAGTTTGAGCGCGGCACCGACCAGAGCGTCGAGGCCATCTTCCTGCCGTCGGTCGTCGCCGGCGAGCGCAACCTCGACGTCTACCTCAAGGCGGCCCACAGCGCGCTCAAGGGCGTCGACAACTTCAACGTCGACTTCCTCGACCGCGCGCTGACGCTCCTCACCGAGAGGGGCGGCGACATGGTGGCCGCCCTCCAGGCGCTGTCGCAGAGCAAGCCCGAGGATCTGCGGATCGTCCACTGGACGTCGCGCGAGCTCAAGCAGTTTGACACCGCCATGCGCGAGTGCAGCTCCGACATGCGCCAGCTCAAGAAGCGCATCCCCACCAAGCGCTACTCGGACATTGTGCGCCACTTTGTCGTGTGGAAGGTGCAGCGGCTGCGCGAGGACCTCGAGGCGCAGGCGGCCGAACCGCAGGGCAGCGGCAGCGGCGCCGCGTCGTCCGCCCAGGACGTGCAGGGACCCTCTGGATCGGCGACCTCGCCCTCGGCCCGGGCGTCGGTGTCGCGGGCAGTCTCGCCCAGCCTGTCGGTGTTTGGCGACGACGACGCGCCGCCCGCCGCCTCGTCGGGCCCCCGCGGCTGCTCGATGTGCTCGACGACCACCAGCGAGGTGTGGTACAAGGGCCACCACCTGTGGCCCAACCGCTACCTCTGCATCAACTGCGGCCTCTACTGGCGCAAGTACGCCGCCGAGGCGCACAACACCGAGCTCGTCTCGGTCAACACGCGGCACAAGACGGCCAACGCCGCCAGCACCGCCGCCGCCGTCACCTCGACGGCCGCAGAAGAGAACGGCGTGCTCGGCGTCGCACCGTTCACCAAGCTGGCGGCCAAGGGCAAGGAGAGGGACAAGGACAGGGGCGCAGCCGCGGCGTCGACCTCGGCGCCCCAAGCCGAGCCGGCGCCGTGCGTGCTGTGCGGCGCCGTCGAGCCGCGCGCCAGCCTGGCGCAATGCCAATCGTGCTCCCTGAGCGTGCACCAGGCGTGCTTTGGGCTCGACGCCGCCGACATGGAGGCGGCCGCGGCGGGCTCGTGGCTCTGCGAGGCGTGCGAAAACGAAGAGACGCTCGACGCCGCGCTGGTGCCGCGCTGCATCCTCTGCTCCAGGCAGGCGCAGGAC